GGGGGGATTGTATAGGGATTTTAATAGGGATTTTATAACTTTTCTAAAAATAACAGGCTTATTTAATATATATTTTAATTGTTTTTAGATATTTATTGTATAGTTCCGTTTTTATTGCCTGTAAGCCACCCTGAGTCCTTCGGGAGAAGGGCGGGATATAAATTAAAGTAATAATAATAATAATAATAATAATAATAATAATAATAATAATAATAATAATAATAATAATAAACGTGATGATACCTCCCACCTACCAGATATCTGGAAACTAGCCCTAATCAACAAACGAGTCCTAGCCACAAAAACTTACACTGGACCCAGAACAACACAGTACGCCACCACCATTCACCCTCATCAGACTCAAACCCAATCCCAAACCCATCCCTCAGATGAAATGCAACCACCATCCAGAAGCCAAACCACGATGACATCACCAGCTGCTGCACCTCCCTCCGACCCCCACACAAAGCAAACAGACACATGGCATGAACACAGAGCTAGACCACAAACTCGGAGCCAAACCAAAGCCCAGTATGCTACATCACAGCCTTCTGCTCTGGACATCACATCACAGAACTCAAGAGGTTACAATGCTAAAGCCCAGAATGTTACAACACAGCCAACCACCCAAGATATTGCCATACAAAACCCAGCATATCACTACATTAGATTTCAGGATGTAATCACACAACCCATTACCCAGGTCGTTATAACACAAAAGACTAATGGGCACACAGCCAGCACCTCAACTACTCAGGATGTTACGAAACAGCTGAACAATCCACAAACAATAACCCCTATACAGCCAACCAACCCACCTAAGCCAGCACTTCACACACTCCCACCAATATTTATAGAGAGATGGCAGCTCCGATCACACTTTGCTCACACAAGCACGAAGCCGAAGACCCCAGCCTGAAGATGACGAGTGGGACCTTGTTGAAACGTCGCCAAGATATTCTCAATCTCACACAGGAAAAGACCCGAATACGCCAAGACATGCATACCTGTACCCGTGAAAATCTACAAAAACAAATATGTTTCTAATTTCATTAAATATATCCTTGATAGCTGCAAAAATGCAAATCCCGGGCATATTTGTTCAATAACACAGCCTTTGATCTCCAGGAGAGGTATAAACCAGTTGTTTATTGCTAAAAAGATATTTAAAAACAATAAAGACAACTATTTACAATGTTAAAAGAAACAACTTAGCTTTTGCTGGTCCCCTGCCAGCATCCTCAGAGTAAAGCTTGGGGGGTGGGGAGATTCTTTTTTATACACCTTGCTGGCCTAACTGCTTACTCATTGCCCATGTGATAGGGCCATCCTTCCTGGCTAACTGTAATTGCCTTGGTTGTCCCGCCTTCAGTTTTTTGCACTCCAATTCCACACTTTTCCCCCCTCTCATCCTTCAAAGGCTGTGTCATTGAAGCCAACAGCCGCCCTCCAAGTGCTTGTACATGCTCTAATAAAGCACTTGAGGATCGTAAAACAACCAGTGGAGTCAAAGACAGTTTGCCTAATGCGGAACAACTCTGCGCGATAGGGATTAACACAATCAACGGGCCGATGACGCGCTCAAGGAGCCAGGCGCAGAGGCAGGAGACTATAGGAGCTGCCTTCCCGATCTCCTGCTATTCTAACTCTGATGACGCCGGCAGTTTTTGGCCGGACCAAAGCTTAGTGACTTTTTTTAACCACATATATATATATGGTGTGGCATGTTCTTTGTCAATACACACAATTACATTTATTATAGACATTGACCAATTCATAAAATAAAAAGCATATGATGTAGCAAATAACATTTGTAACAAAAAATGATTATCAAACTGACATATTCAAAGAACAATATAATTGACAAATAGTGAAAGAAAATACTAGCCACAGAGAAAAGAAAGTCATATTAATTAGATGATTATAATTGTAAATAAAATGGATCAAAGAGCCCTGGAAATATGATAAAATAACAAATTATTAGTTGTAACCAGACATCTTGCAAGTATAGCTTAATATTTCAATAACTCTTCTGGCACAAAACTCTGTTTTTAGATAAATGCTCTGAAATTTTCTTTCAACAACAGCTGTTAAATGTTCCAGCACAGCATAATATTGTCCAGCTTCAGTATTTTCCAGCATGCCTCTTCACTTTCTGCCATTCAATCCTATTTTCCTCTTGGTCAACAGTATATCATTTCCACTAAATATCCTTATTTTCGGCGATGGATTTCAATTTTGTTTGGAAAACACAAAAAATACACAAATTGCATTACAAAGAAAAGCTAAACAGGGGTGTCAAACTCGCAATGTCATGTGACATGTCACAACATATTGTGACTTTTTTTCCATTGCCAGCAATAGTGTGGGTGTGGTTTTGCTATGATGCATCTGGCCCGTGGGCCAGCAGTTTGACACCCCTGAACTAAACATTGTTCCTTGCAATCAAATTATGCAGTGATTGAAATAGAATGTAGTCATATTTGTAAGTGACAAATATACCAAGAGAAAAGTGGATAGAAAACTACAGTATATTAGCTTTCCATATCCTGCTTCCATCTAATTTTCTTGGATTGATAATCCTGATTTTCCCAGCCAACATACCTGAAGGATAGAATGTTGATAAAATCAAAGTTTATATGGGAAACATTATCTTAGGAAAAATGTGCTTAGTGTTTGATCAATATTTTAGATGTTGCCATAATGTTACTATTTTACTAACAGCTTCCAACCAATGGAACCAATAAGTGACAAACTCACTCTAGGAAACAATATGAAAAAGCAATTGATTAGAATAAAACATTATGCATTTGTCTAAAAATCTTTAAAATGTATCATTTTGCACCCCAGTCTTTTGAAGGCTTTGTGAACTTCTTTGTTTCTTAAGCTGTAGATCAGAGGATTAATCAGAGGTGTCAATACTGTGTAGAAAACAGAGAAAACTTTATTGAGTTGCCTCAAAATTGGTATATTTGGCAACATGTAGACAATGATTACTGTACTGTAAAAAATTCCAATCACCATGAGATGAGAGGAACAGTTTGAAAAAACCTTTCGCTTTTCAGTAGTTGAAGATATCTTTAGAATATTTTCAATTATGCAAAAATACGATATGAGAGTGAGTAGAAATGGTGCAATGGTGAAAGGAAAAGTCAAGATGAAGGTAACAAGTTCTAGCAGTTTTGTGTCACTACATGACAATTTTGCCATAGGGAAGAAGTCACAGAAATAATGGTCTATAATGTTGGGTCCGCAGAAGGATAACTGAGCCATCAAACACATCAAAATGCCATTACCCATCATAGAACTTGTCCATGTTGCAACTATAAGTTGAAAACACAGTCTTTTATTCATAATAATTGCATAGAGCAAAGGCTTACAAATGGCCAGATAGCGGTCAAAGGACATGGAAGCCAGGAGGTATGTCTCTATACCAACACAAGAGCCAAACAAATAAAATTGGGTCATGCATCTAGAAAAAGAAATAGATTTCTGACCACTGAACAAATTGACCAATATTTGGGGTAAAATGATTGAACTATAGCAGGTCTCTAGGCAGGACAAATTTGCCAGGAAGAAGTACATGGGGGTGTGAAGGTGATGGTCAGCTATAACTAACAATATAATGAGGAGATTCCCAGTCACTGTTGCAAGATAAATAATTAGGAAGAACAAGGACAGAAGAGGCTGCAATTCTGGGACATTTCCAAAACCCTCAAGGAGGAATTCTGTGATGGATGACTGGTTTCCTTTCTCTGTGTTCCACATTGAATGAATCTCCTGCATATCACAGCAGCCCTAGAAAACAATGAGAAGTAATGTGTTTTCAGGATAGGCTCAGGAAAGCTTGCACATGCTGCTTTAAATTTGCTGAGAATTTTGACATTAGATAGCCACTGAGAGTTTTTATCCTGTGCTATCTTTTGATTTTAAAAAAATCATTTTACATCCCTTCTTTGCAATTCATATATACCTTATTTCAGCTGTTCAGATAATTCTTAGCGGAGTTTATAGTTCATTCTGTTCTATATTTCTTTTAGAATCAGATTCTACGAAACATGACAGTTTGTTTCCCAAAGTGTTATTCAATAGAATAAGTGAAAATAAAGTAATATGACTTATTTAGTTCACCTTATTGCTGGTGCTTATCACATATTGGTACAGTGTCCAAAAGACTAAAAGCATAAAAGCCATACCCACACCCACCCACACCTATGGAACAAAATCATATCCTACATAGCAATTTATTCCCAAACAGGATAAATATATTAACAATGTCTCCTACAAGACACAAAGAGATTACCTTTCTTTCCCATTTTAAACCCATTGATATTATTTGTTAAGGTGATCTATATTATATAGGAAGGCTATTCATATTCATCCATATTAACTTTTATTTTTTTATATAATTTCTTAATTCTGACAAGGATTTGTCATGAGATCCATTTTTAGCATGATTTCATCTGCTAAACAACTTCTTCTTCTTCTTCTTCTTCTTCTTCTTCTTCTTCTTCTTCTTCTTCTTCTTCTTCTTCTTCTTCTTCTTCTTCTTCTTCTTCTTCTTCTTCTTCTTCTTCTTCCATTAAAATAATAAAAACGTTTACATCATTGTTTTATTTTAAGAGTGTCATTACTTTAATTGTCATAAATTGCTAGTGTTAAATATTGAGCAGAAGCATAAGAAAATTAACTATCCATACTTGCTTAGCAATATGTGCTTAACGGATATTATTTCCAAGTAAATGTTTATACACTATGATATCATAGTGTATCAAGATCACGTGAAGTATTAATACCACTTTACAATGCCTTGGTAAGGCCACACATGGAATACTGCATCCAGTTTTGGTCACCACGATGTAAAAAAGATGTTGAGACTCTAGAAAGAGTACAGAGAAGAGCAACAAAGATGATTAGGGGACTGGAGGCTAAAACATATAAGGAACGGTTGCTGGAATTGGGTATGTCTAGTTTAACAAAGAGAAGGACGAGGGGGGACATGATAGCAGTGTTCCAATATCTCAG